CCTACAGGGAATAACAGTGCCACAAGCCCGAGCAGCTCCTGAAGATGTCTGGCTCTTGTGCGCTGGCCGTGGAGGGCACCGCTGGCTGGGTCCCAGGCACAGGCATCTGCTGTCCAAGGGAGGGGAGACCAGGGCTTTGCGTATCTGGAGGTGGGTGGAGATTCATTTAAGTGGGAGTCCTGACTGCCTGGCAAGGCCGTGGCGATGAGGCAGGTCCAAGGCCAAGTTGGGAAGTTGAGTGGGAGTCCAGGCCCAGCTCAGTGGGGTACACGGCCAAGCACGGGCATGGCTGCAGCATAGCTCAGGCGGGGACCAAGGGCGAGCGTCTCAGTTTGAATGCAACTCTCAAGAGAAATGGGAGGAAGGGGGGGGGTGATGCTGCTGCCAGCTCTTTCTTGAGCACCTCTCTCTTCACAGCCATCAGAACCCAGGTGAGGCACCTGCACCTGACACCCAAACCCACCGAACCAGGCTCTCGTTCTGGCTTAGGGTGCCACTAGGGCACCATCTGTGTTTCACCACAGCCTGTGGATCACTTTAAGTTTTATACAGCTGTCTTATGTTATGCGTACACTAATTAGCACACTATTATAACCGCCTTAAACATTTGTATCTTAGACCCCTACTTTATGAGGTAAAGTTATGTTATAAAAACAAAGTATGTTACTTTAAAAATGTCTTTAAGCTCATGTGATTTCATCTTTTAGAAACTCAGCTACAGGCAGTCAACAGCCTTTCTCGGAGCAGAGCAGTGAGCCCATGCCATAGAGAGAGAGCAATAAAGTCACCAGTAAAGCCAGCCTGCCCCAAAATGGTTAAGAGCAAATTCTGGAGGCTTTCTTTGGGTGCTGAAGCAGAGAACATGGGGCTGCAAGGGAGTCTGAAGGGTCATCCTGTCCATCTCGTGGCCTCGAACCGGGCTTGGGCTGCTTCAAGCATCCTCAGGTGTTGCTTGCCACTGCTGGACATTGCACTCCTCATGTCGTCTGTCCTTGGGCCAGGCTGTCCTGCCGGGGAGAATGCATTTTTCTTAATGCCTACCCTAAAAAAGGCTTTGCCATAATTTCAGCTCCAGAGCCAGGATGGTCCCTGACACCATTTGAGGACTGTGATGTGGTAGGCTTAAGACCACAGCCCGGCACATGAGGGAAGGATATAATTTACTGGCTTAGGCTCCCCGGCTTAGCAAGCGTTTGTCCTTGCTGCCTCCCAGCTGCAGATCCCGCATCCCTCTGTGCTAATGCAGTAAGCCTCCCGACATCCCCGAGGGCAGCAGTTAATCCCCTGTTCTGAAACACAGAAAATTTCCACCGTGTGTGCTCCCAGGCACCTGGCTGGCGTGCAGTAAAGCCACCCTGGATCTCCTCTCCCCTGCATGGAAACACGCTGCTCCTCCACCAAGGGCAGCGGCTCACAGCTCAGTCCCCAGCACGCTTCATTGCCGCCTCAGAGGAAGATTTCAGCAGTGGTTTAACAGCAGATCCAGAAGAAACTGTCCGGCCAGATCTCATAACAATGCTATCCCGTCGGACACGCATTTATTTCTCCCACCTCAGACTTTCACCCTTCACCTGGAGCTCCTTGCCAGCCAGCACCTCCAGCATGGTTGGACCAAGCACGTGGAGGTGCCACCCATCCTTGCTGCCACCGCTCACTGGCTTCAGAGCTGTCACCCCTCCTCGCATCTCCCGTCCCCTCCATGCCTTTCAGGATAGGGAGCGCAGAAACCCGGCGGCAGCGCCCATGAGGGAAGATCAGGCAGCGTGTGCTGGGTGCCTGCTACGTGGTTAGCCCCGGGCAGTGGCATCTCAGGGGTTAATGAGCCCCGGCATGGGGGTGCCCCAGCCTGCCTGCGGTTGGGTGTTATTTAAAAAAGAGGTGAAAACCCAGAGGATGCTTGGCAGGAGCTGTGGAGAGATGCGTGGGCAAGGAAAGCACCCCGCATTTGGGGGTACAAGAGCTGCAGGGGCTTTAGAGGCGGATCCGTGGTGCTCAGACCAGGGTGATAATCCACCTCAGTACCCTCACCATGCTGAAACCAGGCCCGGGGAGCCAAGGCTGGCGAGGGGAACCGGACCCCAGCAGGGACCGGGAAGCCGCTGCCTGCCTGGAGGCCGAGGCGTGGGGACACACATGCCCATGCGAGGGCTGTCTCCATCCTTCACTGCTCCTGCTGGGGCTCGTCCTGCCCCGTGCCGCAGGATCTGCTCTCCAGAAAGATGTCTGCCTTGGGGGATGTCTGCTGGGGGATGCCTTTCCCTCGTCCGACTTAGCCGGAGCAGTGCCGGACGCGGCACATGGGAAGCTGCCGCTGTGCCCATGGGAAACCCGATCCTTCCCGCGGCCAGAGCGGAGGGAATGGCCGGAGCAGAGGGGTGCCACCAGGCTGAGATCATGGCCTGAAATACCCGGAGAGAGGGCCACCACACCAGGCCAGCCCGCCCACTGCTGCTAGGCCCTTCATGGGCAGCATCAAAGCCCCCAGCCCCAGCACAAATGCTGCCCACGGGCCCCCCGTGCCCAGGCCGGCTCCAGCCACCAGCCTGCACAGGGACACCCGGCAGCAGCCGGCCGCACTCCCCGGAGCAGCAGGGCACGGGGTAAGCACGACGAAGCACTGGAGCCAGGGCGGACAAGGCAAAGCCGCAGATGCAGGATCCGGGTAGACCCTGGCGCCAGCAAATGAGTCAGGGGGCCAGGGTGGGCAAGGCATTCCCCGGGGAAGGGCTCCTCGACCCAGCGATGCCGCAGGCAGGCTGGTTTGCAGGTCCCGCTCCTCCCATCCCCTGGCAGGGGACAGTGTGGGTGGAAGGTTCCAAGAACGCCTGGGAGGAGAGTTTCTCCCCGCCCTGTCCCTGGGGCCGCACCGGGACTCGCCTTTTGAAAGGAACCGGAAAACCAAAACGATTTTCAACCCTGCCCGTTATGGAAAAGCCTCTGAAATGTGAGCCCAGGAAGCAAATAGTCTTGTGGCTGTCGTGCTCTTGGCCAGAGCAGGGGCCGTTTGACGGTAACTTGGGGCCCTTTGAGTCCTTTGCGACACGGGCGCTGCTCCAGCCGCGGCCCCGGGGCACCCCAGCAAAGGTGGCACCGGCAGTAGGCACACTGGCACACCGCGGCGGGCCGGCAAGCCGCCCTTCCTTCGG